GGACCCGAGTTTCCGACTTGCAGCAAATATCGATTCCTAAGGATTCCATTGTACGAGTCAGACAAACTTGTTGACCTAGCTGCATCAAAGTCCTCACGTCGAAGGCCCCCAGATTCAGTGATTGACGAGGCTTTATAATCTGCAATCCATTCCGCGGTAAATCGCTTACAGTGCTATTTGGCAATGACCTTTGGCGAGCGACATCCAAGTTTCTTGAGGGACTATTACAGGTCGGTAGAAGGGGTAAAGGGAGAGGGTTGGGATATCTGAGCAGTAGCCCACTTATCCCGCTCGATGCAATGGGCAGCGCGGTCCTGAATATCCTGCGCGACGACCGATGCAGTATGAAATTATTTTTTTTCAAGTTTGTGTATACATTGGGGGTTGGTGGACGGGTACTGCTAGGGTGTCCATCCACTAAACAGGAGAACGATTAGGGTTCTAGTCCAAGCTTTTAGTTCTAACAAGAACCTAACCGCAAGGCGAAGTGAAGGCCCATTTACTTGGATCGATTACTCCTCCACCGCTTTTTATCGACTGACACGCCAAATTCCAGGCGAACCCCCAATCTAGAGGACCAGGAAACCGAACTTCTTCTGACCTCTACCCATTGACCTTCCAGGCATGATAAAATCTCCTGGCTTTATAAAGCTATCCTGTGTAGCTCGTTGGTTTATAGAGGTGCACAAACCATCACACCACGTCAAGGTGTAGTCTTGTGCGATATCCATCTTTTTGTAAGAGGCTGAGTTTTATGGTGCCGCAGTTCTGCCGCTTTAAGTTAATTCTGATTTCCGTCTAACCTCCACATAAAGAACACCATAATTGGCTGAACATCGCTGTGTTCACGTGATCGTTAAGCGGCATATGCATGTAACTAGTGGGGCGGTCAGTATGTGAAATCTGCACAAGATCATCAACAAGGCTTGGTGCCTGTGAAAAACCGAATGCGCTAATCCGAATATTCACCGCCCAAACTGTTTATAGCATGTTGGTTTTCCTTACTAAGATGAATAGGGAAGTGGAAATGTCCTTCACAATACTTTCTTAACCGGACCCATCCGCTAGTTCTAGTCAGTGGTTGTTATCTAGGTAGCCAATTTCTTCTCTGAGCAGCATACTGTTCTCATAGTCATATTTGTAAGCACCATATTACATTCTGTCGCTACCCTTCGTAAGATCATGTACTGCACGCACAGTCTCCCCGCCGTCCGATGTGATGTTTATCCGATTATCTAGCCTTCATTCCTCTTATTTTTAACTGTTCGAATACAGGTGCCTCGGTAATCCCATCTTGTTTTCGGGGTTTTCTTCTCTATCCACGTAACAGTCCTTTCCGTAAACAAACATTTTCTTTGATGTCTGTCACCTTTTGATCGACGAAATAGAGCAACATTTTGTGTTCAATAGTGTTACTTTGTTTTTGATGCACATTTGCTGAAGTTTTTTGGAGTCTAACTTTATTCTTATTCTTGAACATTGTGTACTATCGTCGCTGTATATCATTCTTCGATTAGTGACTTCATTGTGGATTATATTGACTCCTTATGCATGAAAACGACTATATATCCATGTGGATGAAGTGTTTCTCACGATATAAGCGAAATGTACTCCTTGGAATCTACGGGACTAAATTCACCCGAAAGATTCTTTTCACTGTTAGTTTATCGCAATATCCGGACTTCACCTCGGTCCCTCTCGTGTATTGCGTTCCGACCAGGCAGCAAGCATTCAGTCAGTTTATTGCACCATTTATAAGCTGATTGACTGTGCAACCATGTAGCTGTTACCCCCAGTATGAGTCGTTTTTGTCTCATTCGATTGTCAATTGGTCCTACTGGAATCACCAACTGTCTATCGGGTACATATGCAGTCGATTCTTCCTAGATTTTCTAGGCGTTTCTGGTGACGCTCGAAGGCCTTAGTCGCTTTTTCGTGATGCCCATCCAGTCTTCAATCTCAGACTAATTAAGGAATCAGAGTAAAACATTTACTAAATCTTTTGCTTCAGAGGTGCACATCGTAGGGGTCGTTTCCATACCACCATTTTTGCGAATTCACGCATCCAGGCCCACTGTTGTTCTTTATATCCTGAATCTTTGCACGACTCACTCGCAGGTGAAATTTTCCAGTGCTTAAAACGATTATGCTTCACATAAAAACCAAACTTCCTGTTTTCTGCCTGCTCTATTTTGGTGACAATCACAACTCACTAACACATTTTCTTGTGAATCAAACAATATCTCTGGTTACCAGTTGCATAATTTGCACTTTTGTTGCTCACGTGTTATTTTCCGGATCGATGAGCTTACGTTCCAAGTTATGTGGTTCCGGTTACTGAATATAATTTCAACATGAGTGTATTCACACAGGTTTCTGTGCACTTCTCTGTTTATTGCTCACTCTTTTGGTGGTGGGCTGCTCATCCCTGGCATTATTCTACCGGATCAATGCCATTCATTATATGCGAGCTAGTTCTGCCATTGTCGTCATTTGGTAACCAAAATATCTGATGATTATTTTTTGGCCGTATATCATGCTGTCCTATTCACTGCTTCTTAATCGATTGATTTTTTCGATTCACGCGCATCCAAAAGGCTCTTGAAAAACTGACTTCACTTTGTGTTCGCAAGCGGCAATGTTCAAGTTACTCGAAAACAGTTGATTGAAGTGTGCTGGTTTTATTGGTGATGGTGGTGGTTTTCGATTCAGAAAATAAGGCAAGCTCTCGAAAGTTATTAGGCGCTCATTCTGATCGCGTATACAAATGTGTACACAATGGTCGGTCCGAGTGACAAATATGAATATTCTTTCTGTTCATGATTTCTTTGCTTTCCAGTTCACTGTGCTCAATCGAATTCTTTCAGGTTTTATCTCCTACAGTGATCCTAATGCTAGTCTGACGAGGCACACAAACTAAACACACCGCTCGCGATTAATTTCATCAACCTCGAGCTCCTAATTTCCAGAATTAGCCAGTTTGTGGTATTTCTTGGCTAGTCCATGGCTTGCGGCATTCCACACGTTTGAGCGTAGTTAGTGATTGGTCGAAGGAAACATCACGACTGTTCCATAACGTTCTCCCGACTCTACTTTTGTCTTTAAATATCTTGAATTATTACGCTAATATGTGTAAGCTGTTCGCCACTGATCAGGGAGATAATTCATTCATTCCCATACCATCGAGCCATAAGTTTCCCCCTATACTTGTTCCCGTAAAGATCAAAGACCCCTTGTATGAGTTTTGCTTTTGGGAATAAATCGATTTAAAACCAGATATACTCCCTATGCGAGGCCGCTAAGTGTTTACATCCTGTTGGAAAATTCCCGTACCTGAAAAATTCATGCAAGCACTTCACTCTATCCATTCTCACATCTGCCAATGACCGGTAAAAGACGAAATACGAAATCATCACTTAGTATAGCCGGCGGACCGTCAGTTGTATTGATTCATTGTCTTTGGAAAGCGTAGGCGTTTCGGTCTATCCTTTCTTGTTCTAGAGGAATGCAGCATTTGAAATGCATTTAAATAGGGGGAATTAACGATATCCCAAGAAGTGAAACCCACACAGAACACCATCAACAGTGTCTGGTGCCTATGAAAAACCAAAAGGGCTAATCCAAATCTCACGCCTGGCAAACAATCGTAAAAAAAACCACCGACAACCGATACCCACAATACAACCTCAGCGATTGTTGCAAATCAGCCTTCGTAGCGGAACTTACCGCTCGTCTGTCAGTTCAATCACCAGCCGAATGACCCTGGAAGCAAATCATGGAGACTATGCGAATACCGATAAAAACAACGTCAGACCCTCATCTCATCAACCTCGGCTGTTCTGCTGGACGCCCACAGAACCCTCCCTCCAGATACCACATACAACACAGTTCGCAAATCCCTCAAACGCCAGCTCATCAAGAACCTGAGGAATGACCGCGCGAAATGGTCAATAGGGAAACGTAAAGAGATGGAGAAAGCTGCGGCTATTGGTAATAGTCGCAATCTTTTCCGTTTAATTAGAAATACGGGCCACAGGAAAATGGGTGTAAGTGGGGTAATTAAGTAATCCGATGGCATACTGATTCACGATTAGCAACGCCGTATTGATCGATGGGTTGAACATTTCGAGGCTCATTTCAGCTGGCCCCCATCGACATCTGAACTATCACTCTGCACCGCGGCTGGGCAAATACTGCCAGTTGATACTAGTCCTCCATCTGAAATGGAGGTTTCCCGGGAAATAAGCCATCAGAAACAGCACAAGGCCTCCGGCCTAGACGGGCTATCCGCATCGGTTTTTGTGAATGGAGGCTGAGCCTTGGTTTCGGAGGCAACGAAACTCTTGGTCTCAGTGTGGGAGAGAAAAGATGTTCCAACTGAATGGTGTGAATCGGTGATCATACCGATTTACAAGATAGCTGACAGGTCCTCTTGTGAAAACCCCAGAGGAATCAGTTTAATCAATATCATCTCTAAACTTCTCGCTGGCATCATACTCCGCCGATTGTCTGCCGCACGTGAACGGTGCACGCGTGAGAACCAGGCTGGTTTTGGACCTGGCCGAGGTCGTGTCGACCACTTCTTCACTTTTCACCAAGTTCTCGAGCACCGACATTCTTTTCGTAGATCCACCATCTGTGTTTTTCTCGATTTGAAAGTGGCTTTCGACTCAGTCGACCGCTCTAAACTCTGGCGCTGCCTTTCCCTGAAGGATGTGTCCGAGAAGTTTATTTCAATATTACGATCGCTTTATACTAACAGCCGAAGTCGAGTCCTAGCTAACGGCACGTTTTGACCCGATTTCACCACGGAAAGTGTTCGATAAGGTTGCTCTCTCCGTTTCTATTTAACTTTGTTATAGATTTGGCTATAGAAACAGCCCTATCCTCTTGCGAGGTTAGTGACATCGATTTACTCCTAGGTGGTAGACTGTCTGATCTAGAGTGAAGATCCAGGTAAGTTGCAAGCTTTGCTGAACAATTTGAGTTCCAGTTTAGCCATGTTCGGTATGTTTTACACCTTCAAAGTGTAAAATGCTACTACAAGACGGTTGGTCCAGCAGCCAGCCTCACTCTAGCTGGAAAAGTGATAGAGCAAGTGGATCACTTTTAATACCAGAGCAGCTACATCTCACCCGGTGAACGCATCACGCATGAAGTGTCAGGTTGCATACAGAAGACCCGATTGGCATTTTCCAACTTGAGACATCTGACGCGCCGTCGCAACATCCGGCTGTCTGTGAAGAGTCGAGTGTATGCTGCAGTCGTTCGGCCTGTTCTACTATACGGAGCAGAAACTTGGTCATTAAGAAAACCGGACAAAGAAAGACTGTCGGTAGTTGAACACCGCTGTCTATGTAGCATTGCACGAATCTGGTTGGAACCGGACGAACGATGGTGAGGTTAGACGCAGAGTTTCATTTATTCGCGGCTGCCCACTGGAGCAAATAGTCGACCTCCGTAGAATACGTCGTTTGGGACATGTGTTACGCATGTCACCAGATAGGTTTCCACGGCGAGCGATGTTTGCCGAGGGAGGTAGGGGATGGAAGTGAGCCAAGATTACAAACCTGCTAGCACACAGGATTCAGATTAGTAGACTTCGCCGGCTAGGGTACGTGTTGCGTGTGCCCAGCGGTCGTCTGTCGCACTGCGCTTTGTTCGTTGTAGCCTCTCCGGACTGGAGGAAACCACGTGGAGCTCAACAGATAAGGTGGAAACGAGGCATGAAGCAAAGCACGGGGCCATTAGGCAGGGTTGGTTTATCTCGCCTGCCATGTTGGAGTCCGAAAGACCCCACAACCGGTTCGTTGGAAACATTGAAGGAAATGGCAGCGATCCGACAGCAGTGGCGATCTTGTCCTCATTTCTTATCAGGTCAGATTGCTTGAAACGGTAGGTATGCAGAGTTCGATTGCGTACTCTGTGTGTTGACCATAGTGGCTCATCTTCTTCCCCCTCCCTCAAAGTATGTCCAATCCCCGACCAGCTTTCATTTTATCAGTAATCTTGTATGCATTGCGAGTTTGGCATCGATCGGTGAAGTTCACTTCACTGTATTTCACTGTACGATGATGATGATGATGATGATGAAGACCCGGCATGAGGATATAAAAACCCTAATCGGCAGTCTGGATCACACGGGTCCCGTGAGGCCCCCTGGCTGGGGACCTCGGAATAATTGTACCCGATGATTAGAGACACTGACTCATATTGCCGAGTGTCGTAAACAGTTGCGTTTGTGCATCTCGTTAATATCTCTGAAGAATTCGTTCCCGGAACTTCTAAATTTTCTCTTTGATCCTACTTTCAACCTTTCCGGTTTTTTTCTTAATGTTCATCTCACTGGGCAGCCAAAAGACAGCAACCAAAACCGGCGCCCGATAGTACATGGTTAATGATTGTGCAAACTGAACTGAACTGAATCCAAACATTCAGCATCTAGATGTTCCTCACAACTTTGAGGTTTTCGTTCTGTCTATTGCAACTCATCAGCAGTTCTATCTTTTTGATTACCCCAACTGTCCTTGAACTTTGTACGCTCGTTAATCAATGTCTCATTTTCCTAATCGTCCCTCACTCCCCCCACCACCTAGCAGAAACTCTCCTCAGGTGATATCAGCTCCCCATCCGGCTTTCGACATGTGCAACATGTGGGTTATAATCGTGAAGAAGCGAAATTCGACATCTCTGCTGAAGATTGCGAAGTTCTGCGCGAGATTTTGCGTGCAATCGGCAAAGAGGATCGAATGGAGAATTCCGGCGAACGAAAATTTGTATATCAATATTTGAAACAGCACGGTGGTCTGAGTGAAGTGAGTATGTCTCAGATCATTCGAAAGTCTCCCGTCTGAAGTAGACAGCCGTATGTTTCTGAAATAAATGAACAAAGCTTTGGTTTTCATAGTTTAATAATCTTATAGAATAAATGTGGTCTGATCTGTTTTCCAATGTTCAATAGGAGTTGACGTTTATGCGGAGCAGCAGAGCGCTAAACGTTTAACACGATACACTCTATGCAGAAGAAGTTTTATTTGACGGGTTTCTGAAGAAGTTGCACTACTTTAAACAGAGTACATTCTTCAAGAACAAAAAGGATTTTCGATCCTGCTTAAAGGCCCCGTTAATATCTGGCGATGCCTATCCTCATTGATTTCAATCGTGCTGCCGACGGGCTAGATGGTCGTCAGAACAGATCAAACAATAGTCACAATAGCTTAGATGTAAAGAACTTAGTGTAAACTTCAGCCTCGAAAATTTACTGGCTCCGTCGTGTTCCATGTTTCATGTACCGTTCTCGAGGCAAGCAAAGCTGAACGCTACTAGACGCGTCTCTGGGTTGTGGATAGGGGAATGCCTTCACCGAAGACGGTTAGCTGTGGATCAATTGTGGCAGACAGCAACAAATAAGCATTCGGAAACAAACAGCGGCGGCAACTACCAGGGTGTGATGGGTTTCAGGTTGGTCACCTGGTTCCTGTTTAACAGTCGCACAAACCCGATGATGGTTTCGTGACAAAGGTTAATGTCACTGGCCTTTTAAAACTAAGGTCATTGACCCCCTCACTTTCGAGGCGAGGGATTACTTCCTGCTGCTTTGCAGTACGCACTTGGTTTTTCAAAGGCTAGAGGTGCGCACTCAAAATAAAAAGGCGCAGAGTGATACTGGGGACGTCGCTCGTACGAAACTCCCAAGTAACTTCATGATCATGTCTTCTGCGGCGGCCATCAGAGACATTCATGGAGCCAGTATATCCTTTCCAAAGAGCCAGCCATAGTAAAGTAATATAATATTGTTTTATATATCATAGGGCCCAATAACTGTGAACATATCAACGCTCTCACGAATTTGTATGCGAATTGAGCAATAGTCAGTGCAGTCACTCGAAACAACACCTGACGCGCGCCCTTCTATTGGCTGCGCTACATTTTCTCCCTCTCGGAATTATTTTGTTTTCGTGAATACCACATAATGACCACACGGAAGGTCTATTTGCGGTCTCAGTTAATGAGTTTCAAACATGATCATCTCAATACTGTGCCTTTCGTGTCCTCGTCGGCTCATTTTCGGATTCCTACTAAAATGAAGAAACTCAGGCGCGGTGGCTGGCAAGCAGCGCTTACTCGCACACCACCATCAAAATTGACTGTCCCCTCATTGGTCTGCACGAACATCCGGTCGCTCTTCGCAAAGATGACGGATCTAACGTGCACCTTTGATTCACGCATCCACCGTAACACGTGTTGTTTGTATCCAAGAGTCCTGGCGCGAACATAATGTCGAGGACTTTTTAATTGGATTCAGTGGTTTTAAATGCTTCCGTAAGGATAGGAAGCACTGTAAGAAGAAAACAGGAGGTAGAGTAATCACGTACATCAACTCAACCTGGAGCGGCAAGTTTTAAATTCTTTTTGATTATTCCGCCGATGGCGTCGACTGCTTAGCTGTTCAATGTTTCCCCAGATTTTCGCGATACAGGAGTACAATCATTACCAACTTATACATAGCCCCCTTTTTGTACTTAGTCTTACATTTCATCTTTCTTTGATGCATTTATTCCGTCTTTCGTTCCCCTCATAGACGATGGTCTCCACATCATTGTTGGTGACTTTATTCATGCATCCACCTATCCCATAACTTCTTTTGGCTTAACTGATATTTGCTTGTCCCCTACAAGAGGTGATCCATTTTTAGGCAAGGTTATTACTAATCACCCAGAACATTTTGCCCTAAAACTCACCGCACCTATTTCCACTAGTAGTGATCATGCATTGATTCTCATAAGACCCACAATCTACTCCAGTCCCATTCACAATACTCTCCCAAGAACCAATCAGATCACCATTCGTCTTCGCAATCTCTCCCCAAGAA